CACACTGGTGAGAGGACTGGTAAGAGTTAGATGTCCTGGGTTCAGATCCCAATAGTACCACGTGCCAGCTGAATGATGCAGTGAGGTCACTTGACCTCTCTTACTGGGGCCAAGACAAAGTGAGGCTCGTAGAACACACGATGCTAGAATCACTCACGCGCAAAGCCTTGCAAATGCTTTCACCTGAAACTAAGACTTCCATGAGTTTTCTTAAATTTTATGCCTTATGTATCTCTCTTGACTTACCCTACCCAAGTCCCTGCCCTTCCTGTTGTCCTAATTTTGTAATATGTGAAGTGACAATAAGAACCTCCCTGATAAGCAACATTGTAAAGATTAAAAAAGTAACTGAAGTAAAAGATTAAGTATATTGCCTAGCACATAGTAAGGGCTCAGTCAATGACTGCCATTGTTTCTCTGAGTGGACAATAACCTCCAGAGGAGCTGGTCTTCATTTCTAATTCATAATAACCATAATAGCCATAATAACCATAAATTGTCAAAACTTGGGAAGCAACCAAGATGTCCTTCAGTAGGTGAATGGCTAAAAGACCGTGGTACATCCAGTTTAGTGGGATCTTTGTGGAACATTATTTGGCACCAAACAGAAATGAACTGACATGTGAAGACGTGGAGGGATGCTCAATGTAAATAATTAAATGAAAGAAGCCAATCTAAAAAAAGCTGTACACTGTATCATTCTAACCTTATGACATTATTGGAAAAAAAAAAAAACTTTGAAGAGAGTACAAATGATCAAGGGCTGGAGGGAAAGAGGAATGGGTAGAGAGAATGCAAGATTTTTGGCAATAAAACTACTCTGATGGATACTCCAGTGGTGGAGACATGCCATGATGCATGAGAAGGTACAGCACCAAAAGTGCACCCTAATGTCAGTGAGGGACTTTGGCAGTGATGTGTCAGTGTAGGGACCGTGATTGTAACAAATGCACCATTCTCATAGGGGGATTTTGATAATGGGAGAGGCCAGATGAAGGTTTGGGGAGAGGGAATATATGGGAACTTTCACTTCAACTTTGCAGAAACAAAACTAAGCCTGCTCTTTAAAAAACACTGAACATTACAATAGAACAATAGTGATTATGTTTTGTGTGGATTCATGAATATTTGTGAAGTTTGGCAATTCGGTGAGTAGCCTACAATCAGGCAAATATCCTAAGCTTCAAGTCCTCAGATCAAGAGATCTTGAGCCACTTCATCTCCTTGCTCACACATGGGATAGAGAAGGTCTAGGTGAGGTGCGTCGGACATAGGGAGGAGGAGAGCCCAGACCTCAGAACATTTCTGAGGTTGGTTTTCAAATTAGAACCATGAAGGAGGAGGCTCTGGAGTGGGATGCATGCGTGCTGGAGGGATTGGCTCACGTCTGGAGAGCAGCAGCTCAAATGTGCTAAGTGGCTTTGGGCCATGCAAGCTGGGCCCATCAGGAACGGACTGGCTCCTTCTCGGTTACGCACTTGCCAACACCCTGGGAAGGCGATTCTTTCCTGGAACACAGCGACTATCTTGCATCTTGCCTGGAATTCTGTGAGACGCTTGGCAGTGCCTGGCCAAGCTGGGTGCACCCCGAAACACCACATTTATTTGATACTGAGGTTGATATTCCTCTTTTACATTGTGGTTGGGACTCATTAACTCTCAATAAAGACCTGCGTGGAAGGAGGGAGTTTCCATCCTTTCTAACAACAACAGAAAAGTTTTCCTTATTGAGCCACAGCTCCTGTAACTGATTTGTTCTCCTGGCACAGGACAGCATGCTGTGTGGCACCCCGAGGCTGGTGAGAAAAGGGGACAAACTCAAGCATTCCTGGGTAGAAAGGCCCTTCCTTGCATTTACCGCAATTGCTAAAACACCATGCTTAATAGCCCAAGACTGGTCTGTATTTGCATGGAAACTATGTTTGTGTGGAATTTTATTTAATTTTTTACTTCAAAATTGCCATAATAAGAGCCAGACTGTTGATGAGTCTAACGATTAGAAGCAGCCTCAAAATTCCCCACACAATCATGTTGGGTTCAATTTTGAGATCTTGTTCTAATAGCTCAAAATGTGTGGTGTTTATCTAGCCACTCCACTGAAGAACTTGCCTCCACTGGTGCCAGACACATGCATTAGGTTTTCAGCTGTTCTAGTTCAAGGATGTCTCAATAGCCAGCCACGGAGTTTACGTAAAGCAGTCTGGAAGGGTGTTGGGTGGTTCATTTAGTAACTGCTGTATTTATGTCCATCATATTACTATTAAATTGGCAAGTACGAGGCAGCATTTGGAGTTGCAGAGTGTGTACACTCACCACCATTGGATGTGCTGTGTGCTTGGAAACAAGCAGTGCAAGGAGGGCTCCTGGCTTCAGGCACTTCGCTCAGTGTTTGCATCCATCTGAGTCATTCCGCTGTTGCACCTGCTTCCCGGGGAGCCAGCCGTGCACATTATCACCATTATTCTCTCACTGCACTGAAATTGCACTGATCTATGAGGTCCGTCTTTTTCTTTTCTTTTTCTGCCACATAACAGGATCTCCAGGACTCTGTGCATGTGTGTGCATGTGTGTGTGCATGTGTACGTTTCATTCTGAGTCACTGCCTGAGAAATTTTTTATATTCTTTGTATTAGTTTTCAAGGGATTCTAGTAATAAAAGTATTACGCAAGTAGGGCAAGCAAACATCTAAACTGGAAAAAAACCCCGATCACTTAAAAAAGGTCATTTCCAAAGCTGGTATCAGGTGGGAATGTGGGGTTCAAGGTCTCTTCTGGTATAGTTACTGCTGTTCACCAAAGATCTACTGATTTTCAAAGAGGGGAATCCAGACTCTGAGCATAAACCCATCACTTCCTTTCTCGCGTAAGCTAAAATTCTCGGTATAAATATTGAGACACACACACACACACACACACACACACACACACACACACACACAAAATCGAGACACAATCCCACATTCCCACTGCATCTCAGTGGGAATGAGGGGCCATTTCTAAACCCTTCAGTACCTGAGAAGTGGGAAAACAGTTGCCGAATGGGAGAAAGGGCAGAAGAGTCTAGATGAGTTGGCAAATGATAGCCCATGGACTGGCCGGTCTTTGTAAATAAAGTTCTCCGGGAGCACAGCCGTGCTCACTTATTTACGTGTCGTCTATGGCTGCTTTTGTGCGCAGTGACAGAGTTTGCATAGTTGGGACAGACATTGTATGGACAAACAACCCCAAAATATTCACTGAGTTTTTACTGAAAAGTTCGCCAACCCCCGGTCTAGACAAAGAGTCAGAGGAGCTAAATGTTGGCTAAAGGTCCCCAACTAACAATGCCAAGAGGAGGACTGCATTGGCTTTGCTTGATGTCATGCACTGAGCGCTTCTAAAAATCCTACAAGCCAGTAAACAAAAATCCTTACTATTCTCCTTAGTTTGAGGCAGCAACATGAAAAGTGAAGTTAGGTATGAATGTACACTATACAGTCCCTGGATCTCTAAAGCATTACAAGGCTGCATAAGTTAACGCCATTTCTCAAAAGTTTTAATACAGGCAAATGCTGGTGGCCACTAAGGTACTGGTGCTCTGTGTGTGTGTGTGTGTGTGTGTGTGTGTGTGTGTGTGTGTAATTCTACACTGCTCAAAACTACACACTCTAGTGATATATGTGGTCCTACTTCAAGTCAAACTCTTTAATGTAAATGTTTCCCAGTCTTTGAAAATGGTTTCAAGATTCACCAGAAGCCTGTAGGTGAAGGAAGCAGATGCACTTCTTAGCTGAGACTCCTAGCGCCCACATGCTGTACCCATTCGGCAAAACAAGCCGTCAGTTACAAGACTGCCGTATCTGACTGATGGCACACTTTCCACAACGGCAGGAATTACCGTCAGGGGATCAGAAGCTACATGGGCTCTTGGTTATTTTTCACATATTCTGGTGGATTCAGATCTCCATCCTTTGGGGCCAGATTTGGCCAGTCTGGTCAGGAGTTCAGGAGCTGACAAAGAACAAACTAGAAGACTGAAGCAGTTCCGATGACCATCTTACTAGGTCTGAGTTGAACCCCTTAGACAAGTGCAAGGCAAGGTGGCTGGAACAATATAGCCCTGGCATGTTAAGAGTGGCCCGAAGGTTCTAGAATGTCATTAAAGATAGGGATTTTTATTTGGTGACAGGGAAGACTTCCTCTTCTCATTTAAATATTAGGCAGATTATTAATAGACAACACTGTAAAGTCTACCTGCAAACTTTTCTTAGTAGACATGTGATGAATTGAAACAGAAAAGCTAGTTGAGGCAGGAAGAGTTGGATCTCCCCCTGACACTGGGCTATGTTCTGTGTCCACAGATTTAAATAGCTGAAATCTACTTCTCTAATCATAACTCTCCTCTCCTAGAAGGATGTACAAAGTTTGAGATAATGAGTTAGGGAAGAAATAGTATGTAGTGTATATCATTAAGGATCTAAGCTGGGCATAATGTGCATGCCTGCACTCCCAGCACTCTGAGAGGCTGAGGCAGGATGATCTCACATTCAAGCTCAAGTTGGCAAACAAGTGATTGAGTGAGACCCTGTCTCAAAACAAAAAATAAAAATGGGCTGGGGATGTACCACACACACACACACACACACACACACTCTAGCTGTAATTTTTGAGACTTGTATTGAAAGTTAAAATGCGGGGGCTGGGGATTTAGCTCAGCGGCAAAAAGCACCTGCCTGGCAAGCGCAAGGTCGTGAGTTCGGTTCCCGGTACCGGAGAAAAACCAAAAAAAAAAAAAAAAAAAAAAAAAAAAAAAAAGAAAAGAAAGTTAAAATGCCTGTTAATTATAAAATTTTTTTTATACTGGGAATTGAACTCATGACCTTGTGCTTGACAGGCAGGTGCTGTGCTGCTGAGATATATCCCCGGCTAATTATAAGATTTATCACACTTAAAAGCACAGGACACTAACTTTTTCTTCATTTTCAATTCAGTGCAATAGGATCATATAGCTGAAGAAAATGTCACCATTCTATACTTTTATTAAAAAGCAAACATTGGTTCTAATGTTTTCTGAGTATTCCATGAATTTGCATGTTATCCTTGCGCAGGGGCCATGCTAATCTCCGTATTTGCTCCAATTTTAGTCTATGTGCTCCGAAGTGAACACAGTCCAGCTTCTTAAATGTTCCAGTTTTAGGCTTAGAAGAGTCCACCAGCCAGTATCACTGAGTTTTGGTACAGCCCATCCCCAAGTCCCATTTATAAATTCTGAGTTTAAAGAGGCTCTTTGTTTTCAAAGGAGGGTTTTAGTAGTGTTAGCTTTCAGAAAAGATAACCGGCCGTTCTAATCTTGGAATAAGAAGGCGAGTTCTATATGGGAGGCTCATAAAAGCTGTTCTAGGAAAAAAAAACAACAAAAGCTCTCAACCTCTCAGGACTGAGCATGCGAGGTTCAGCGTTCTCTTTAATGCCAAACACGGGGCTCTATAAGCCACATGGGAGCAGCAACCTATGCCGGCTGCGACCAGATTGTGAAGGCACATTTTTGTGTGACATCCCCGCTGGAGCCGCCAGGCTGTAATTAAGATCTAGCCAGTTAGATGATCGCTAGGGAGAGGTCCAGGGTGTGGGGAACACTTTGAATTACATTCCATGCAAACATTAGACTGTCAAAGCTTAGGGAGGCTCTGATTGTCCATAGTGGGGGAAGGACTGAAACGAATGCTCGCACATGTCAGCATGAAATAGCTGCTGACACAAATTGAACATGTGCAATTTTTTAAAAAGGTGGTATCAAGTAACAGGCCAACAGCTATCCCTCTCGGCAGTTTAGACCTCTTTCTTCTCTCCACTTTGGCTCTTTGTTGAGTCACTTCCATCAGGCAAGGTTCCATAGGATAAGCCATTTGAATCTGGTTGTATTTTGTCCAACATTTGTTTCCCTGTGGAGATAATAACATAAAAAGATCTTTTGAGCTCTTACAGAAGAAAAAGTCCTAATACTTTCTGTTCAATCTAGGCCACATTTTATTCCTCTAAAAAAATACTGTGTGGTCACCCTCTGAACAGCAAAGATAAACGTCAAGGAAGAAAAGGCCCTTGGAATGCCAGGTCACTGGATAATGTGCTGCGCATACGAGAAGTGGAGAGCAGGTTGGCTCAGTCAGGGGATGCATGTGAAGTGTTCACTTGCTTTGTGAAACAGAAAAGAGTTAAAGAATAAGTAGACTTTACTTCCCACGAAACTTTATCTCCAAACAGGCCGTCCATAACGCACAGCCTTGTCACAAATGCCAAATCTGGCACTGAGCGCTCTTGGATGATAACGTGGCTCAGGTGGCAAAGAGGACAGGGACTTCGTTTCCCAGAGCCATCATTTCTCAGTTTTAGGGATGAAACTTCAGTGGCTTTTAGTTCCAAGGCATGGTACTAGCAGGCTGGTGGGAGGCTCTGGCACTATCCCCACTCCGGGAACCCTGCAGGTGAGCCCAGTCCCCAGCAAAGCGAGAGACTTCTGGGGGTGGCTGGGCAGTAGCGACCCAGCAGACTATTTCATGAATGAGTCAATTATTTCTCAGTGGAAATGAGACCCGGGGAGATGAGCGACGAAGGAGGAAGGGAGAGCACGATGATGTCACAGCCTCCTCAGTCTTCCCGGGAGTGATGCTCCTTAGCGGCCTAAGCTCGAGTCCTTCACTGCTCCATGAGAAACAGGAATCCAAGCGGCCAGGCCTCACGGTTTCCCCTACCCTGTTCTCTTTAAGGAAGCCCAGAATAGAAATCCCCCAGATCAAGAAAACATTGTCAGTTCTTTTACGGCCCCATCGTGCTGTGCAAAACTGACATTCCGCAACTTAACATTTTCACTCAAAACATCACCTTTGGCCTCATCAGTAAATGTACATTTTTTGAGGGTAAGAATTATGTTTTATATTAACTTAACACCCAAAATAATGCCAACAATTTTTCATTTAGAAGGCTAAAACTTTCTATTATGGATTAGAGGAGATGTATATATTTTTACCAGGAATATTTCCAAAATCAATAAAAGACTGTTGCAGATGTTCCTTTTCTCGATTTCTTGTGACCAAAAACACTCCAAGGAATGACAGAAAGCACCTGTAAGAAAAATATTAATAAAGAGCGCAGGAATAGTGAAACAGCTTATAGTATTAAATAACAGAGCCCCATATTCTACACGATGACATAAACTCCATCAGTTTGTTTATCCTGTTTCTCATGGTAAGCTGCCTAGAACTTGTCTTAATTGTTGCAGCCAATAATATTTGTACCCAGAACCGGGACTTGGGCAGCTTCCAATAAATCTCTGCCCCAGGTTTTTACCATCTGGAGACTAACTCAGGCTCTAAGCCCTTTGGGTAGACACTAGGTCTCGTTTTCTATTCACGCATGCCCAGACCCATTACTGGCATGCAACATGAGCGAGAAAACAATTTATTCTTTAATTTGCTAAGAAATCTCGTTGTCCTTGGCCATAAGAGTACTCATAGTTTCCAGACCCCAGAAGTCTGGCCTCGCCCAAGTGTCTTATGAAATTGAATTTTCAAGATAGATGGTTTCCTATGCTGAAAATAGACGAGGCTCAAGTTTGCATGCTAGTGGCCGTACTGAATAGCGGCTCAAGGAGCAGCTTAACGTTAATACAGAGCCACCGGGAGCCAGTGGAAGCTTCTATACATTGGTGAGATGTCAAGCTTCTGCTTTCTGTTTGCCAGCGATCCCAGCAATGACGTCCACCAAATCTTTATGAAAGGTCAAGCCGGGCACACTAACTAACACAAGAAAGGCATACTACCAACCTGAGGTTATTAGGTTCAAAGCCAAGTTCAACCCCAGCCTTGGCCTTTTAGTTTGGGTGATCTCAGAGGCATCCATGCACCTGGATTCAGAGCTCATGTTCACAAGAGTGTGGTATGTCTGATATAGCTTGAAAAGGCTACAGAGTGGCTTCAAGGCCAGTGGATTTATTCTGACTTTGGCTGGAACTGAAAATCCCCAAGGCTTCAGGACCTTCAGAGGGGGCCGGAATCACAAAGCCAAAGACACCGAACCCTGGTTGGGGTGTTAAGTTGAAAAATATGTTTCTTTTAAGAGCTCAGGAAACTGATATTTCTTACATTATTTCCAATTTTCTCTATTTCAGGTACAATGCCAAAAATCCTATATAAAAGTAATAGAATTTCACATATCTTACCTCTGAGGCATTTACTCACCCAAATAGATATATAAATACGGTGAGCAAAGCAGCACCAAAGAATTCCTGGTAAAAGACAATACCTACATAGGAATAGTAGACAAAGTTAATTTCAGGGTACGAGTATTTATTACACAACACATTGTTTTAAAAATTACATTAATGTATTTTTTCTACATAAGGTAACGCTTAAAATGCATTCAGTGGTTTAGCTAAAAAAAAAAAAGTTGCACGCCATACTTACATTTTAAATTATTCCAAAAAGAACATAGACTTGTAGACTATATATAATATGATTATCATTACTATGAAATTAACATAATTGATATACTTTCACCAAGCAGAAGCTTCTTATCCAGTCCTGGATTTTCCCATTGGGACATACAAGAAAACAAAGCTCTAGCAATCAGATCCCAACTACAGGTTCTGGTCAAGGCTCAGCAAGACTGGCCTGAGGGGCTGGGGGGACCCGGGTGCCTGACATGGCAGGCGCTGTGGCCTCTCTTAGTTATCCTGTGGTCTGCAGGCCTGGCCACTTGCCCAGGCAGGCACTGCATGACACTCTGACCACTGGGGTGTCACCCTAGCTCTGTCTCCCTCTGCCAACCCCTCCCATCTCTTCCTTCCGGTCTTTCCTTCCAGGCATCAGGAAATGTGTGTGCACGATCTCCTTTGAGGAGCTCTTTTCCCCCTATTGGTCTCACTGGTTTCTTCTTGTTTTAAAGATCCAAGGCCTTTGTAAAGTTTTAATGACTAAGTTATCTTTAAATTATGAGCCACGTGGAATTAGAGTTTTGGGTATGTGATGCTAGCCTTTCTAGCCAGTCAACAAATATTCCTTGAGTGTTTTCTTGGACCATGATGGAGACTCTCTGGTGACTAGGATAGAGTCCTGTCCTTGGTTTCAACCTTTCCTCACTGACTGGATGAACCTCTTACATGAAGGAACCACATTCCATTCTCATAAATATTTGTCAAATGACTGAACATTTCAGAAGCATTTTCCATCTTATTACTCACTTCTTTGTAATCATTTTAATGTTTTCATGTTATTCTAAGGTGATGCACTATAATGTTAATTTTTCCAAGAGCATTTAAAGTTGTTTCTAAAAGTAGCAATTTCTGGGTGTGGTGGCGCACGCCTGTAATCCCAGCACTCGGGAGGCTGAGGCAGGAGGATCTTTGCGAGTTTGAGACCAGCCTGGGCTACAGAGTGAGCTCAAGGCCAGCCTGAACTGCATAACAAGACCCTGTCTCAAAAAGACAAAAAAAGAAAAAAAGCAATGAACTTCTTTGTACATATTTTCCTCCTAGTGTCTTAGGATTTTTGCTACCATTAGAATGGGTTTCTAGAAGTAGAGTTTCTTGTTCAAAGAGAAGAAATTTTTCTTTACTTAAAAAATTGTTATTAAAATATACATCAATACAAAAGTCACCATCTTATATTTTAAGTGTGCAGTCCAGTAGGGTTAAGTGTATTCACACTGTGGCCTAACCAATTTCCAAAACTTTTTCATCTTGAAAGACTGAAGCTCTCTTCCCATTAAGCAGCTTCCCACCCAACCACTATTCTACTTCCTGTTTCTATGAATTAAATTATTTTAGATACTTCGAAGAAGTGGAATTTTGCAGTATTGCTCATTTTGTGACTTCTTTCACATAAACTACTGTCCTCAAGGGTTATTCATGTTGTTGCTTGGTTAGAATTTCCTTGTATTTTAAGGCTGAATAATATTCATCTATCTATCTATCTGTCTATCTATCTATCTATCTATCTATCTATCTATCTATCCTCTACCTATTTCACATATAATTTACCTGTTCATCTGGACACTGGACTGCTTCCACCTTTTGGCTATTGTGAAAGATGCTCAGTGAACATAGCGGTACAAGTATCTTTTCAAGTCCTTGCCTTCAATTCTTTTAGATAAATACCCAGAAGTAAAATTGCTGGTTACTTGGTAATTCAATTTTCAATATTTCTGAAGAATTGCCATACCACTTTCCATATCAGCTGCACCATTTCATATTCTATGAATGGTGTGTGAGTGTTCTAATCACTGCACATCTTCTCTCATTATTTGTTTACTTGTTGTTTTCTGTGTGTGGGGTGGTTTCGTTGTTGTTGTTGTTATTGTTGTTTTTGCACTGGGGTTTGAATTTAGTGCCTTCTCACTGAGATACATCCCTGTCCCTTTTAAAAAATGTTTTTATTTTGAGACAGGTTCTCACTAAGGTTGTTAAATGGCTCATGCTGGGCTCGAGCTTGCAATCCCCCTGTCTCAGCCTCCTAGAGTGCTGGGATGACAGGTGTACACAACCATATATTTTCTATAATAATAGTAGTTATCCTAATGAGTCTACTTGTGGCTTTCATTTGCATTTCCTTGATGATTAGTGACACTGAACATCTTTTCACATGCCGTCAGCCTTTCTATATCTTTTTTGCAGAAATATCTACAGTGTTAAATTCCTTTACCTATTTTTTGATCAGGTTACTTGTGTTTTTGTTGTTGGTGGGTAGAATCAAAGAGTAGAAATGTTTTTAATAATCTTGATAAAAATGATGGAACTCAGTTTTAGCAGGATGGTAACATCTACCCAACCCCACAAGGGTGCCTATGTCAGCAGAGCCACGCAATAAAAAGAACAAATGAAAACTTTATTAAGTTGGTAAGCAAAATTGAGTGTCTCATTATAACTTTAAGCTATACTTTTGATGGTGGCAGAGAAGCTAGTCAAGAAGCTTTTCTTCTGTTCTGTATGTAAAATGAGATGAATTGTTACCATTCTCAGAAATTCCAGCCTCTCTGATTCATCAATTCCTCCATGTGCTGGGAGTTGAGACCCTGCCCTGTTGCCCTCCTAGAATACCCTACTTCAGGGAACTGCGTTGTTTACACACCCTAATATCAATGATTAGCTTGTACGCCATGCCGATAACCCTTTTCGGTCTTCTTTTCATTTCTCAATAATTCTAGGACACACCAGTATGCAATCTTTCCTCACTTCATAAGAAAGCATAAAATGCTAAAAAAATGAGCTGTCTTTGGATATAATCTTTTTCTTTAAATATAAAGTTCAATGTTGAGAAACAGAAAATGTATTAATTACTTAAAAAAAAAACTGTCCACTGGTGGTCACATTGTTTGCTAGGAAATAAAACAGATGTAGCAGTTAGGAAGCAGGTAATCCCTAATTAACTCCAAAATACATACACTTTATACTGAGCGATGAACTTGTGAGCTGAAGAGGTGGTAAGTATACCAAATAAACCAAGCAACTAGGGCATAGCAGTAAAAAATGTAGAAATGATCTACTTGAATGTACTGTATTTTGGTTTGGATCAAACTTTAAATTTATATTGTGTCTGTGATATTAAAAAAGTCCATTAAAATATAAGAACTGTCACAGCAGAAAAGTAAAGGCTGGAGGAGTGAAGGCCGTAGTCTGCATCCCCGGCCGCCGGCCTTCCCTGGAGCACTGCATGGCGTTTGGGGCCCGCTCTGACCAAGCTGGTGAGGACATGAGTGGAGAGTTCATGGACTTGTGGGTGTCTGGCCCTGAGACAAGACTCCAAAGGACCTTTCAGTTGCTTTGACTATCGGAAGGGCTGGCAAGGAGGAAGACTCCAGAGAGCATAACAAAGATGACTGTTTTGCGTTCACAAGGAAACTAACTTCAGTTCCAAAATAAACACTTCTTTTCTTTTGGTATAGGAATGAAACCCAGGGCTTCACGCATGGCAGGCAAGTGCTCTGCCACTGCGCTGCACCCCAGCTCTAAGGAAACGCTTTCTAATTATTAGAGCTCTCTGAACACTGATAGGGTCTAAAACAGGACTGAGCCGTCTCCGGAGTCAGGGAGCACCGGGGAGCCAACACACGAAGTAGAACAGCCCATCCTAGAGGATGTCGTGAGGGAAATTCAGTCGTGGGGTGGAGGCCAGGGGAGAAATGCACTCCACAGCTCCTTCTGCTCTAAAGATTCCTTGTTCTCTTATTTACTCTGAAAGAGACTTTATTTAAGCTTGTGGTGGGGTGGATTCACCTACATAGGGGAAACCAGCACTCACCCGCGATAATGGCGCTGGTTGTAAAGAAAATATGGTTCACCGGCACCACCGTTGTCATGTTGTAGAGCTTCGTGGCTTGATTCAGGAACCTACAGCAGAAGGTACTTATTGAAGCTCGGGTTTAGAGATGCTCAGGAATAAGTTAACAATGACTTCAACAAATGCATGTTCTTTAGCTACAACTACAAAGGGAAAGGAAGTGCAGCGAGAGGGCATTTCCAATCAGCAGTCATAGCTTATATGCATCTGATGTATGAGATCAGATGTCAGGTTTTATGGTCTGTTTAAACCAACAACAGTAACAATGAAAAGCAATTAATCATATTCTGAGGCCACAGAAGTTTGAGTTGGAAGCGATTCAAGCTGCTGGACCAGTATCACACTGGGGCTGATTCATTAGGATAGGCCCTAGAATCTGTTAAATATCATATCTGGGGAATAGTGGAGCTATCCATTGACATGCCACGTGCCAAGAAAGAAGATGGAGAAGTAAAGGAATGTTTAATGTTTCAAAAACAATGCTCCGTGCTCCAGCTGCGCAGCACATGTGGGAGCTCAGCTTCCCGCTCTGACCACCGGCAGGAGTTCAGGTTCCCACATTGTGCTGTGCTGCCCCGTTAGGGGCTGAATTGTGTGGATATCACCCGGGTGCTTTAAAAAGGCATAAATGGTTAGGTCCCAATCTAGCAGAACCAAGCACCTTCCCCCCAAAAAAGCTTTGTAGGTACAGATCAGCTATGCGTGTAGGGACACATGTGCGTATCTACATGTATGTTCACATGTTATATGTCCAGACAAACTTCCTCAGGTAATTTTATTGGGCAGCCAGCACTGAAGCCATAGTTCATGGTGTGACAGGTGCGGGACTGAAATATGGGCAAATGGACACAGTTCACCTTTAATTCTGTGTCTTTTATATTCTTGAAGCATAGTACAAGGACAATCACATTCTCATTAAGTCCAAGAGATTCTATAGCGTATGGACCCATTTGGAAGAAAGACAGAAGAAAAATAATAGCAAGATCCCAGTATTATAAACACACTCAATCTTCTGAAGCATGCTAAACAAAACAGTGGCAAAACACTGGGTTTCTCTAGTAACCCTCCACAGGCCTTGCCCACATCTGGCCCAGAACAATTAGATTTACTTCCACTACCTCCAGCAGGAACCACTCCCATTCTGACTGGGCTTTGATTACCTGGCTGGCACTGGGGTGGTGCTTTTGCGTAGTGCTCTGGACTGAACAGAAAACTCTCTGGGCAACTCAATAGAATGCAGCAAGCAAAGGCACAATCACACTGTGAAACGGACGGGAAGTGATTAGAGCAGATGGAGGTGGGGGAGAGCGGACAAAAATTAAAAATATTCCATGTCACCAGCATTAAGACCCAAGAGAAACATAAAACAATCATTCTGCAATCCCAAGGGTGCAAAGAAAATTCTGGCTAAAGATGCAAAGTTCTGGGGAAAGGATTTTGCTCCCGGCCAAATGTCTGGTTTTGTCCATCTCTGGGCAATTAATGAACATGAGCTAAGAAGTGAAGGTGAAGGGTTCACGTATTTCCTATATTTAGAATGAAATTCTGGATGTGGACCTGCCCCTTTGATTTATTGCAAATGACAACCTGTGTACGATGGATATTAATTACAAGCAGAAGAGCATCAGGAAAGCATCAAAGCGCACTTAGCTGGATTAGGGCCTCACTTTAGAATGCAGAAGATGTGAAGGCGAGGCTTAGTAAAAACCTATTATTGGATGTGAAGGACAAGGCACAAACTGTAGGCTAAGCTGTAGGCTGTTCGCCCTTAGCAGTCGAAGCTCATTTTAATTATCATCTGAAGCCAATTAAGACTCATGCTCAGAGAAGCACAGGAATGCTGAAAGATCAGTGAGGAGGTAGATGCTAACTTACTTGACTTGGAAAACACAAGATGCTATCATGATGATAAACATGATATAGAAGATGGGATAAGTTAGCTGCATTTTATCCATCACAGAAAAAGTGATCATGCCTGAGACAGCTTTTACTGATATAACAGTCAATGAGGCTGGAAGAGAAAACAAAAACGTAAGTAAAGCACATATTTGAAACAGGACTACAGACTCAGATCTTAGGTTTACGTGGCGGAGGCGCGAATGGCCTGGTTATGCCTGGAAGAGGGCGTGACACGAACCAAGCGGTAGCTCTGCTCCTCAGGCTGGGCTGGACTTCAAGCGTGTTTCGATCAGCTGAAGGCCTGTCGGGGGCCTGCCTGGGTGGGTTTTTAATCTTTGGAGCAATGATGCTTACTTTCCGGCTCTGGCTGTTGAAAGGATGCTGTGGAGATTGGGATTACCGGTGCATGGCAAAGGCAAAAACAATGAAGGGATGGGATAAGAAAAGTCAGGCTGCCCACGTGCCATTTGTGGGAAAATATTAAACCACACTAAAAAGCCAAATAGATGCAAAAACTGGAAGTTGGAAAGCACCTTCCTTTTGGAGTTTCCTAAGTGTTGTACTATCTCCGAGTGTGAGCCTTTTGTTAGGCGCCTAGAAGTTGTCTTAGAAATGCTTTTTGACGGACGACAGTGGGCAGCTGGACCAGGGCTGAGTATTCATCTCTAGGAATGAACCCTAAATCTGAGATTTGCATAGGCAATATCCATCTCCTGCACGAAAGAGGGGCTCATCCCTTATGAGAACATATTTTTCATGGGCTTCGAATAGCAAATAAGAAAAATGGACTCGATAAAGCTACAGCACCGTGAAAGCATCGAGTGTTTTCTTCTTGGGTTCCTACAGGGAGAACGTAGGACTGCTGTTCTGTCTCAGGTCTTTTGAAGTTACTATTGCAAACAATCCCATAGTTTGGCTGAAACCCACAGAAAGTTCAGAAATTATTTTTATATGAAATCAAAAGCACTGTGAAGGAGAAATATTTCCTTTGTTGCTGCTAATCTATTTTGTCATAATATATCTGAATATTTTCCTTTTAACTTTTGAAAAGGTATGATTTCTATATACATATAAAGTATGTTTAACGTAGCAAGTCAAGGCCAACCAGAAAGGGCCTCCTACAATTTCCTTTACCCAAACCTGAAAATATACTATACCTTGAAGGGTACTAGGGTATAATTTCACATGAAGCATTTTTTTCAGTTAAAAGTCATAATTAATAAAGGAGACAAAGTGATAAATTCAAAAAACAGACCTCCAGTCCGACCTTGCAACCAGGCTTTGCTCCAGCTTAAAATGTCTTTTGACCCGATCTTTTCACATAGTTCAGATGTTTCACTGACTGATTATGACAATAGTTATAGTTTAGCAAATCTAGGAATTTTAAATATCTGTAGAGAGCTATGTGTCACTTGATGGCTTGGGTCTCTAGGTTAGCTCTTCAAGGACCTTCATTTCCACCCAAAGTACTGCCTGAGATTGGAGTACAATGCGGTCGAAGTCTTGTGGTCTGACTGCCCAAGTCTCCCAAAGGGCTAATTAATGGAAGAGGAGTTGGACAAGCTGTTCCATTAGCCTCAGGGCCTCTGGATTGCAAGAGACTCCAAGGGTTTTTGAATTTAACCACCTTCTGATCTTAAATTATACTCAAATACAAAACAAAAAACTAGAATTTTAAATTAAATTGCTAAACAATCAGTTTCTATAGTTAGTGAGTATATTTGCAAAGCATACACAGTCACCAACTGCTTAATCACTGTGTGAACTGCAAGTTATTTCTAAACTGGTGTCAAGTATTTTAAAGCTGTTTTTGGGGGTGGCTGAGGATCATAGGTGGATACACCAAACTGCAATGGCATATCATTCTAAGGTATTTATATGTGCATAGAAAAAAGGCAAAAGGAAGTTTGTTAAGATACTGTCAGTTGTTTTCCATAGCACTTCAAATAAGAATAAACTCTAAGCTCATTTAAATGTCTATAAAACTACATGTTCATAAAAAAATAGAAAATGCAGAATATCTTGGAGTGAAGAATCAAAGTCACCCATAATCTCAACTGTCACCTCCAAATCATTTTTAACATTTGGGTGCATTATTATTGCTCCATTTTTAAGTTTGAATGTATCAAAACATGTGAATCACATGGAACACACTACATAGGAGTCTATTTTCTATTACTATTAAATACTTTCTATGCCATGAAGGATTCTTCCCAAGCCTGACTTTTATTTACTGTAAAGAATGCCTTTGTATGAACGTATGTAATTTATTTTGACAATTCTCTATTTTTGGATATTTAGGTTGAATCAATTTTCTTTTACTATTAAATATGAGGCAGCAGTGAGTGTTCTTGAATATAAATCTGTCTATCATTCGCCTGTTTCCTTCGGAAAATCACATCAAGGGGAATTACTGTGTTGACAGCCACTGTGAAGGCTTCTGAAACATCCTGGCAAGCTGCCTTTCTGAGAATGCCAGTCCCTCTGTCACACTGTGCTACAGTGCTCCGCGACATGGATCTTTATAGTTTTCTTTGTTTCTTTCTCTATTTTCCTTTTTTTTTTTTTTTTTTTTTTTTTGGTCTTTTTGAGACAGGGTCTCTCTATGCAGTTCAGGCTGGCCTTGTGCTCACTTTATAGCTCAGGCTGGTCTCGAACTCACAACGATCCTCCTGCCTCAGCCTCCTTTGTGCTGGGATTACAAGCGTGTGCCACCACGCCCAGCCTATTTTCCTAATTATCAACAACAAACATATTCCTCTGTCACAACACCATCATGTGCCTACCCTGTGCTTGAAATTTGGCCCTCTGCATTGAGTCTTAGCTCTTCCTCCTGTTCCAAGGACTTCTAGATGGGTAGATCCTAGATCAATGTCTCTTGTTTAAAGCCATCAGTATTTAATTTGTTAGTTCTGCCAAATTTTGACAAGTAGCCTGTGTTAAGGATGGAGATGAACTCTGCTTCCCCAGGTTCCTGACCTGTAGGAAGGACTCTGTTAGAGACTTGGGACCCTTTCAGAAGGGAGGTTGCAAGACTGTTACCAACTGTATATTCCACACTGCGCGACACAGCTCCAGAGAACACACAATCCCAACCCCACCCCACACCATATTTTGCCGGAGATTTTGTCGACACTTTAAGATTGCTAAAACAGTAAATCTCAAATATTCTCATTGCAAAAAAATTAAGTATTTGAGATGATGGTTAGGTTAATTAGCTTGATTTAAATATTCCACATGGTATTCATAAATCATAGCACCATTATGTATATCATAAATGTATACAATTATAAAAATTGTCCAGTTACAACTGAAATATGTGTGTGTGTGTGTGTGTGTGTGTGTGTGAAAGAAAGATCACAAACACAGGCAAAGGGAGCCCTTCACTGGAAGCCAGATTCCCTTCCTCCTGATTGCTCTCACTTTCTATTTATTTTTTTGTTCTGTTTTATATCTACCGCACAATATTAAGGCAACAATAAAGAAACACTCTGCCTATCACTCTGCTCCCTCTCATTTGTTTCCAGCTTTTGCCTTACGTGCTTTTGATCACAATAAATGCAGGTACAATGGTGTGTGCTATTTTTTCCATTTTATGTAGCGCTATATGTTTTGAAGCTGCTACCTGACTTCCATAAACTTTTTTTCTTGTAAAAGTCACCACAATTCATTGTAAAATACTCAAACAGTAAATAGAGCACAATGAAGAGGGGGCATCTGCTCTCTTATCTCTTACTGTGATTAGAACACCTCTGGCATTTCGCTGTTAAGTTCTTCTATCAGGCCTGGACATTCAGCTTTAACATGCCTTTCCAGCATCCACTGAGATAGCTGCATGATATCAGTCTTCCATCCTTGTATAAATTTCAGGTGTACAACATGATTTTATATATATTTATATAAATTGTTACCATAATCAAGTTGGTAAACACATCTATCACCTTGCAAGGCATTTTTGTGTTTGTGTGTAGTGAGAACATTTATTTTTAAAAAATTAATTAATTTTATTGGTACATTTTAGATGTACATAATGATCACATTCATCATAGAGAATTTGTACCTGTACATGATAGATCTTGATTAAAAGAAGAATCGGGAACATTTAATATCTACTCTCAGCAAAAGTTGAATATAGAATACACTGTTGTTAGCTGTCGTCATCATGTTGTATGTTAGATCCTCAGAACTATTCATCTTATGACTGAAAGTTTATTCCAGTTGATCAACAATTCAACATTTCCCTTCTGATTTGTCAACTACTTAATGATTTCTTAAAGAATCATCCTTTTATTGCTACAATGAACTAACTAGTTTATTAATTCAAGTGATTATTTCATTTTTTTATTGTATGGTACTTGGAATCGAATGCAGGACCTTGTACTTGCCAGGCTGGCGCTGTGCGTCTAAGCTATATCCTCAGCTCAGGTGATTATTGTATGTACTCAGTTCTAGGTAAAGTACAAGTAGAACCATCCTTTTATTGCCACAATGAACTAACTAGTCAATTAATTCAAGTGATTATTGTATGTACTGAGTTCTAGGTAAAGTATATGTAGTTTGCATAAAAGATGTGGTCTGTGTCTTCCTGAAAGTAATCTAGGAGGGAGACAAGCTCAGAAGAATGCAGTAAACATAGAAGTAGGATGTGAGTGCAAATCGTTGTGTGACAAAGAAAAAGAACAAGTATCCTAAGATCACTTGATCGTGAATGTAGGTTGTTCTGGATTCTCTTTGCTAATATTTCATTTGGGATTTTTTCTATCAACATTTGCAGTGAGGGCTGAGGATATAGCTCAGTGGCATAAGCATTTGCCTGGCAAGCCTAAGGTCATGAGTTCAATTCCCGGCACCAAAAAATAAATAAAATAAAATAACTTAATATCTGTAGTGAAATTAGTTCATAGTTTTCTATATTTGTGCTATCTTTTTCAGATTTGGGATCAATATTATCTGATCATGTTTTAAAAACATGTGAAAGTTTTCAAGGTTTGAAGACATCATTTTTGAAACTATATAGGCCTAAGTACTTTTTTTTAGGATGTGGCTTTTCTAACAACTTTATTTCTTCCATAGTTACTTTCATTTAAAAAGTAAGTAGTTTATTTAGGTTTTATGTCAATAAAGAAGAGTAATTTATTTAAGTTTTATCAAACATATATATCCTTTCATCCATTTATCTCCTCCATTCCTCTCACTTCTGAGTATTAGTGACTTTTTTTCCTGATAGAGGATGTATTTCATCAGTTGCCTTTTAAGGAACTGATTCTTGGGGCTATTTATGAATTTATTGCTGTTCTATTTTCTATTTCATAACTTTTTGCCTTTATCTTTATCGTTGTTTCTTTTTGCCTCTCTTTGATTTATTTCAGTATTTTTTCTGACTCCTTGAGCTGAGTGCTTTAACTTAAATTTAAAGCAACTAATTTCCTCCCAAGACAGCATTAGTGAATAACTATAGGTTTTAATACTGCTTTCACAATAATTCTAAAAATATGTGTTGCAATGAAATCTTGGTTTTTCCTTTACCCAGCTGTGTGCTGAGAACTGTTAGCATTTCCAGGTGGTAGGGTTTTGTTGGTTTCTATTTTTGTTATTATTTTCTGTTTTTATTTCACTGTCATCTGAGAATGCATTCTGTACTATTTCAACTTCCTGAAATTTATTGAGAATCTTTTTTAGTGATCAATTATATCATTAACTTTTGTAAATGATACATGGGCACTGGAAAGAAAGTGCATTCTCTGTTTTCAGGATTTAGAGTTTAGTATTAGAGGTATCAGTTCAACATTAAATATTCAGATCCTTACAAATAAGTACTATGCTTTGCAAATAATGTGAAAGTCACATTTATTTTGCCTCTTTATTTTGATGGTGGTTTGCTTTCTTTAAAAAGCAAAATCACTGAAGTGTAACAGCAAAATAAATAAATATTTGGATCCTTAATTTTAAACACATTTTTATTTCTACTTGTAAGAGCTTAGAGAAGCTATTTCCCTTAATATTAATATTTCTATTAGTATAGTTTGCAATTTTCTGAAGATTTTCTATAGCATATTGGATGTAATGTTTTGGATTGGATGCTCTCTCTCTCTTTTTTTGTTTGTGGTACCGGGAATCGAACTCAGGACCTTGCACTTGCCAGGCAGGTGCTTGTACAGTTGAGCTATATCCTCGGCCCTTCTCTCTTTTCTTTAATCAGGACAAATTATCCCTTCTGTCACAGTGTTTCCAGTCTTGGTTTTAACTTAGATAGTAATATCATGATCTACTTTCTTCTACTTTCAAGTTACCCAAGTTACCTTGTTTCAGGTAAAATTGGTGTATCCAGTGGAAGCATTTCACAGCCTACGGAGCCCATCAGGGAAGGTGCTGGTGCTGGAGCCTCTGTGTTAATCCTTGGTGGTTAATCATGGCTAGGCCAGGGGTAGAGGTCTGGAGAAGGAGCACCCTGGGACCTTGACTGGTGGCTGATTGAATAACACTGAGCTGCACTTGAGCAAATAGGCTGTGTTCAGTTTCAGAGTCTTTTTCAAAATCAACTTGAGAGTTTCTCTGATGTCCAGTTTGAGAATCTTTTTTATTAGGTAAACTTATGCCATTTATATTTATGCTCATAACTGAGATGTATGATCATAATTCTGGTAGTTGATGTATGTTCCTATTTAAAGTTCCTTTTATTTTCGATATTTTCCTATATACATATTTTTCCTTTTTTGTTGTTGTTTGCTTTTGTTTTCCTTATCTGCTAACTCAGGAAAAAAAAAAGCAAAATAAAGTTCCCTTTCTTTTTGTTATCTTGATTAACATTATACCTAAACACAGGGTAGCATTCCGTATTGTTTCTAAAAGTAATTATCACAAACACAAACATTCAATATAAAGGAGGTGGAGATATGAAAGTCCCAGCATCTCATTAGCCTGGGGCTTGCAGCCTGCTTCTGCAGTGTAAGTACAGCCTACAAAGTCGTAGCAAACAATACCCGATGTACGGGATGACTTACTGGCAAAGAAGAAGTAAAGGAAGAGTCATAAATAAATTTCTGAAAAGAGAATTTCCCAAATGTTCTGCGAGATCCCTCAGTGTTGGTACGTGAGAGGGAGGGAGAGAAGGAGGGAGGAGGGACAGAGCGACAGAGAGAGAGAGAGAGAGAGAGAGAGAGAGAGAGAGAGAGAGAGAAAGAGAGAGAGAAAGAGAGAGAGAGAGAGAGAAATACATTACAATACAGTGAATTAGCTGGGCTTGGTGGCGCACTCCTGTAATCCCAGCACTCGGGAGGCTGAGGCAGGAGGATCGTTGTGAGTTCGAGATCAGCCTGGGCTACAAAGTGAGCTCAAGGCCAGCCTGAACTGCACAGTGAGACCCTGTCTCAAAAAGACAGAAAAAAAAAAAAAGTGAATTATTGAAGTGTCAGATTTCTAGCCTTGCAAGGAACTTCTTTAAAAAAGTAAGTGAGCTGGTAAACAATGAATAAAAGAAACGTGCTATTTGTTTCATATTAGCCATATTTTAGTTTCCTAGGAAAATATAACAGGCTAGATCTCAGCAAGTAATTCCTTACCAGAAATAATTAATTAGGTTTATTAGTTTGTTTCTTTTAATATTTTTTTCAGTTGTTAAAAAATTCTCAAATTTTCAGGAAGTAAAATTACCAAGAAAATCCTCAAATGTATATTTAAAAGAATTAAATATATATCATTTGAGTCATGCAAGGCATAATTTGTGGAATTTAGATTCAGTTTCTTTCCTTCTTTCTGTACCAGGAATCAAACTCATGACCTCGCGCTTGCCAGGCAGGTGCTGTACCTCTGAGTTACGTCCCTGGCCCCAGCTTCTTTCTATAGGTCAGAAACAGTGATAAAGGAATAGAATTCTCAAGCCCTTTCCTTCAAACCTCACTGCTGACTTAGCGTGCCCTTACTGGACAACGATACAACGTATGTGCTTACCTAGAAGTGCCACCAGAGTTAGCAGAATCACAATGTGCTTCATTCCTCTTCTTTTATGGAAGTAGAGGAGAATGCAGAAAATTAATATTTCTAAAATCTAGGGAAGGAAAAGATGAAAAAAAGAGTTAAGCTGTGCTACATGAAGTCTTCGGAATGCCACACTTTTTGATTCTGCAACAGTCCCGTAAGAGTTGAGGGTGACTGCGGTTCCTAAGGGTGATTATAAACATAGGAGAGCACCTTACGGGGCCTCAGCCACAGGTACCCCACGCGCTCATCCCACCCACCCACGCAACTGTCCAGTGCTGGGCCCTGGGCCTCCAGTCCCATTTATCTAGACTGGGCCACACGCATATTTAGTAGCCATTGCACATAACATGGGCAACACCTAGCCCTGCCTCCCCGCTTCCCAGCTGGGACTTCCTGGGGCCTCTGGCCTCAGTATCTGTCCTGTTGCCCAAGCCAGAGTCCTCTCTCTCCTTCACTCTCTGTCGTTCTCTCTGGACTATGCAATAACAATAATCGGATTTGTCTCTGATTTCACAATTGTCCAGACATTCAGCAACCAGAAGAATAGTTTAAAAATACAACTGGGAGAATGAAATATTTAATTCATAGAGAATGGATACGTTCCATATGTATTCACAGTCATAATATGACAAATACTCATATGACCTCCCCCCAACCTAAGCAAGAACCTACTGGTACTTTGGAAGTCTCTCGGGTGCCCCTGCCCAGTTGCCCATCCCAGGAACCACTGTGCTGAATTTTGCATTCATCATCCACTTTTTAAAATAGCTTGTCATATTTGACATATTCCCAAACAACTTGTTTATTTTTGCATATGCTTGGCCTTCCTTATCCAAATAGAATTGTTTCACTTGCTTGCTATTTTCACTCTGCGTTATGCTTATGAAATCCATCCAGGATGATACAGGTAGTAAAAATATAAATCAGATCTAATTATTCCTTTGCTTAAAATTCCTTTGGTTTTCTAGCCCATTTAAATGAAAATACAATCAGCTCCTGGATAACAAAGCCCAGTCAGCTTCTTGAACCTTATTTTGTACTAGTCATTTCTGTATGTCCACTCTGTGCCAGGCACAATGGAGTCGGATTCCCTTCCCTTCCCTTCCCTTCCCTTCCCTTCCCTTCCCT